TCTGGCTGTCAGTAGGGATGAAATAGAATGAAAGTTACTACCGTAACTACGGTTCTATGAATCCTGGATAACCGCCAGAGTGCTTGGTCCCTCGGAATGTCTGCTTTCACGAGAAGATTGAGGGATTGATTGCCGGGTGCCACGTGACTATATAGAGTCACGTGGGTCCCCGGCAGGTCACAGCTGACTTTGTTGTCATTAATACTCGACCTGTGCATGCGCATGAATGATCATTCAGTGCTTGAAGCACCGCCTCTGGCGGTCAGTAGGGATGAAATAGAACCACTTTGTTTACAGGGCAGGCGCAGCGTGGCTACGGCCGGGGCTTCCAGGAGCGGCGGGTAGAGTCAGCTCTATTAAGAATAAACAGGACGCTCATCCAGAGGGCGTTTGGAGGAAGGAAATGTTCCCTGGCTGCTCTTTGACAGAGTGGTTAGGACTAACTATTGGTTAGAGGGTAAAACAGCAACTAACGGCCCCGTGAAAGACCGTGACCAGTGGGATTATTCTATGAAGGTCAATTTGTTTCAACACTATTAGTGCATTGTAAGTGTGAATTTGAAGTTTTAGAGAGTTACATTCCTAGTTTTGTATTTGTAGACTTAAAATCTGAACAGGTGTAAAAAAACAAAAAAAAATTTGTACCTGGGACATTTTTTTTAAGTACCGGTACAAGTACACAAATTCTGTTCTACAAGTTGCACATTAAAAGACTTTTTACATTCTCAGTTTTCGCTCCATATGGTCCAGAACTATTGTTGCTAAACTATTTGTGCATTGTAACGCTGGTGTTTCGTAACTGTAGATTTTTTTAATCTGTCACAATTACAAAAAAGCTACACCTCTTCAAAAAAACAGTGCAAGTACACAAACTGTGTTCTATGAGTTGCAGAACACAGTTGTGAGACAGCCCCCTGCTGTCCGATCAAGGGTACTACCCATAAGTCACAGATCAGTTTTACTGGTGGGACATTTGTGTCCAAAGCGAAAATGAAGGCGTGACGTGCAAAGTTGAATTTGTGACTCCCAGCAGCAGATCCCTGCAGTTGTTTTCATTGATTTGTATTTGGAATAAAATAATAAGGAATAAAATATTTTTTTCCAAGATTTTAAGACACGTGTTTAAAATTTGTTTTGCACCATTTGTTTTAGATCAACTGTAGCAAAACTGAATGGAAGACATCTTTGATGTGCAACTCACAGAACAAAGTTTATGTTCTTGCACTCAAGAATTTAAAGAGGTGTACATTTTTTGTAATTGTGGCAGAAAAAAATGTACAGTTACAAAACACCAGCATAACAATAAACAAATAGTTTTGAAGCCAAATACCCTTCATGTTATTCTGCTGAGGAGCTGCAGACGTCTGCAGAGCAACCAGTCCAGCTGCCTTCTACAAACCTTTCCCACAGGAAGCTGGCTGCTGCAGACAGGCAGGTGGCATTAGCCTGGAAACAAGCCCCTCCTCTTCCTCAGAGTCAGAGTCTGAGACGGCCAGAGGAAGCTGAGGAGCGCCAGCAGCGGCTCTTCCCGCCTGGTTCAGACCGCTGGGACCTGCAGGACAAAGGCCAGAAAATATCCAACAGGTTTGGAGTCTAAACTTTAAAATGAGAATCCAAGGAGAAGAAATGCTGCGAACCTGCCTGCTCCTGATCGGGAGGCTGCGATGTTCCCGCTTGACTGATGTTTTCGATCCCCATTCCTCCTTCCGCCTCCTTCAGGTCTATGTGAGGCTCTATCTCCATTTTCTCCTCCTCAAATATCACCTCCCCTGCTTCAGCTTCATCTTCTTCCTGCAAGCCATTTATCTCCAGAGGCTCTAGGAGGTGAAACCAAAACCAGAGGATTGTTCATGGTAGAGCTAGACAGACGCTCCATCAGTCATTAATGCTTCCCATGGCTCACCATCAGCCTGCTGCCTTTGGTTGTTATTGATGTTGTTGACAGGAGGAGCAGGAGGAGCAGGAGGAGGAGCAGGAGGAGCAGCAGGAGGCACGTTGGCCTCATTAGGGTGATGGTGCTGGTTGTTGTCATTGCTGGCATTCTGGTTAGACACCAGTGCAGAGGAAACACCGATGCCAGTTCCTGCGCTCAGCCCCACCCTGGCACAGCCCTGGGAAAAACAAACACATCCTTCTGAGGACCGTCCATCCACTCCCATTGAAAAACAATCACACCCTTCTGAGGACCGTCCATTCACTCCCATTGAAAGACAATCACACCCTTCTGAGGACCGTCCATTCACTCCCATTGAAA